TCAGGCTTGTCCTGAATGGTACCTACCAACCTATAGTGTGGGGTTGAGGCTATGTACTGGATTAATCTTAGGACCTTCTTATCATCCCCCCTGGACCACGACTGGACCTTTGTGGCCAGATCATTGATAGGCTTGATGATATCGGGACGTGCAAGTCTACCTAACCAAAGGGCTTTCATCAAAATCTTACATGCATTTGGAGCTAGTTCCCCTTTAGTTTCATCATCTTCAATGGTGATGGATCCCTCAGGTGGAAATGGCGTGGCGGCATGCTTGAGTTTGGTGACACCAGTTATTGATTTATACAAATCTACGGTCTGCTGAGCGTAGTCTGCCATATCAAAAACCATGCCATTTTGGGCTTGGAAGGCTGCACATTTTTCATGACCTTCGGTCTTGGGAAGTGGGGTAACAACATGGTTGCGTCCAAGAATCCTATAGATGGGCTCTGGGGGTTCTATGTCTACCACAGACGTTAACTTATTCCAGAATGCATCATGCTGGTCGGCAGGGCCAGCTAGAGTTAAATCGTCTACATAAGTTGACAGAAGTAACTTTGTATCTGGGAAGAAAAAGTTTCCTGGGTATTCTAGAACTTCTTGTCCACCAAGGTTCTTGATGATGACTTTCAGGTGTTGTTCCCACAGGCCTCCGGCATCAGGATGACCGTATAAGGCTTTAATTAAGAGGACCTTAACAAACTGTTGCTTCCAATACTTAGGGCGGAGCTCCGGGGGAAGCTCAATCCAGGTTTTGCATTTGGAAGATAACAGTGCTTGGACGTAAGCTTTGACTGCATCTGCAGCTGTCGCGCGGTTACCCGGCAGCGACCCGTACGCCAGGCAAGCGTTTAGCCCTTGGACGGAGGTGGGATTCGCGCCGAGTTCTTGGTAAACCGCGGCTGCTCCATGCTCGTCCTTTGCGCAGTCTCCTCTGTACACGATGCGCCCCTTCATTTTGTGAAGGTGGTCTGCGAGCTCGTGGAATTTAATGGACGCGATGGTCATGAGTTGACCAAAGTGTACTGACACACCTGAAGCCTTAGCTTCTTTGCGCACATCTTCCTTTTCGCGGACCGAGCTAAGATCCCAGGTACCAGCCTTAACCAAACCATCGGCTTCGGCGCGGATTGCCTCGAGGGCCTTGGGATTGGACAGCATCTCTGCACGGGATAAGAGCTTGGTGACCATTGCTTTGATCTCAGGCGTTGGCGCCTTTGGATCCTCCAGGTGGGGGGCTTGTGCGATCAATTGTTCATGATCAAGAAGTTCTGTAACCAACCTATTAGCAGTGGGGTCTGATTCAACAGCTAGGGCTAAATCTTCAAAACCAGCTAATGGGGATACGTGCTTAAGGTGCTGCTCAATTTCCCTATGGGGTTGAGGCTCGCTAGTTGCCGGTCGGCAAGGCATAGCAGGAACGGACTGCTGAGCACATTTTGAGGGATACAAAGCTTGCGCAATTAAACTAGTCATTTGGGGCGGATACATTGCGGAGCGAGTGGTCTCAGCTCCCTCACATCTGGAATGAGGTTGCTGGCATCGACACCGCATATCTTGAAACGCCTCTACAATTCGGGGAGAAGTGGTCTTGAGTTTCCATGGCTTTTTGATGGGATAACCATTTCTGTCGGTTAAACCTACGGTACACCCTTCAAAACCAACGGTCATAAACTGGGGATGCTTCTCAAAGAATGCTACAACGTCAGGCCTTTTCCAGCCAGAGCAAGGTCTTGGCCATTCAAACGTTACAGTACCACCATGATTGAGAACCCTTTCAGCGCGTTTGGAAAAACTCTTAAACAACCGTTTGGACTCTTTGACCTGGTGGGCAAGCTTCCTCATGAATGCGGCACCACCCTTCTTCCTATTGATGTACTGCCAAGGGGATCCGGATGTGCAAGGGATAGAGGCCCACATATGTGGAGGTGCAACCTTAGCGGCTTCATCTATCTGATAGTCTAGTTGCTCACATTGTGACTCATCTCCCAGGTCTATCCTATCCTTACAAAGTCTAACATGATTAATGCCATATTCTTGGTGAGTAAAACCCATCTGGGAGTCCTCAGAACAAGCAAACTCAAACATGGTTGACTTGGCATTGGGTCTGGAAGCTTTCTTGGCAGCTTTCCGGCTCCTACGATTATCGCGGTTAGTTGGCTTACCTACAGCGGGGCAACCAAAAACAGGCAGCGACTTTTGACATAGGTCGGAACATCGATTGGCAACTTGGGGAAGAATAGCTACACCAGAAACAGGAACGGCATGCTCAGGCGGAGCACTGGGTTCGGCTGACCCTGGAA